CACGATATCATTGTGAGGGTTAAATGATGTGATGCACAGTGTCTGCTACTTGATAAACTCTCAATATAAAGATTAGCTATCATAGTAGGTAGGATATGGACTAAGCTACAATAACAAGGAGACTCCGAAATTCAGTAGTACAGAGTAATAGAAATGGATTTTCTCTATTTGAAGCTAAGAGGTCTAGGACTATAAAAATATCTCTGCCATTTTCAAAATACAGTTTCATCTCTAAGGCCAAGATGGTGGCTCCAGCCCTTGTCCCATCCTTGCCAGCAAGAAAGCGAAAAGGTTAGAGGAGGGCATGCTAATTTCTTTTAAGGGATTAAACTGGAAGTGGCACATTCTGTTTCTGGTCACATGCCATGTGCCAGAACTCAGTCATATGCTTGCGTCAAGCTGCATTAAAAGAGTGGCTAACTGTAGCGTCTGGCTGGCCATGTGCTCAGCAAAAACTCATGGCTTCCGCTGTGTGAAATGGTTGGCAGTGAACCATCTCTGCCATAGCTATCACCCTTACCTAGCCATAGGCTCAATGACAGTCGTGTTGTGTGAGCCTCAGGAGATCACAGGATAGATGGGGTAAGAAGAAACATTTTCAGTGGAGGGAGGGAGAGCTTGAGGGCATCAATGAGGGGGCATGATCAGCATGCTCAGAAGTCCAGATTATTAGGAACATAGCATGTAGCAGCAGCACTACGTGGGAAGAAAAGCCGGAATAAATGTTAGCAGAAGACTATGAAGGGTCTGAGACAATTGGCTGGTACTTTCAGGCAGTGAATGAAGAGATAGTACAGCTTTTGTTTGTTTGTTTGTTTTTTTAAGCAGGAGAGGGGGAAGATAGAGGATGTGGTCTGAGAACACATACCTGACAGTGGTGAATAGGCAAGGATGTGAATGGTCAATGGGTAAGTCATTTCAACAAATCAGTGATGAGATTCTGAGGGCCTGAACTGGGCCAAGGTGACGGTGGGGTTTGTCAGGTGGAGCCACGTGGAAGGCACTTTCTGGAACAGAATCAAAACTATATGATAAATGATTTGAGTATGGGTATGAGGAAAATAGGTCAAGAGTGACTCAAATTTTTCAGCCTTGGTTTTTGTCAGGAGGATAATGCTATTAGCAAGGACAGGGAAGCAAGGAAGAGGAGAGAAAGAGCTAGGATGGGGTAGGGTTTTGTAAGCCAAGAAAGGAGAAAGCTTGGTGCCATCTTTGTAACTGAATTTAAATTTGGGGGGTAATTGTTTGATGTCTGCTGTAGACATTAGAGCATGTGACTGTAAACTCAGGTATGCTGCTGCTGCTGCTAAGTCACTTCAGTCGTGTCCAACTCTGTGCGACCCTATAGATGGCAGCCCACCAGGCTCCTCCGTCCCTGGGATTTCCCAGGCAAGAATACTGGAGTGGGTTGCCATTTCCTTCTCCAAGGTAAACTCAGGTGTAGCTGCATAACAAACCTCGAACATTGTGGCATAAAATGAAAACTGATGTATCATTGTTCTTCATGGTTCCAAAGGTTGACTGGGCTCAGTTAGTGATTATTACTCAATATCTCTCATTCAGCTATAGTCAGACAAGGTCTGGAGTTGAAATCACTTGAAAACTCACGTCTGGTAGTTGACAGTGGCTATCAACTGAGACTTCAGCTGAGACTATTGACCAGAACACCTCTATGTGCCTGTGACCTCTGCACATGGCCTCAGTTATTCACAGCATAGTGACTGGTTTTCAAGAACACGTATCCTAGAGAAAAGCAAGGAGAAACTGTAGAATATTTCTGCTGAGGGCAGAGTCACACAGTGACATTTTCACTGCATTCAATCTATTAGAAGTGAATCAGTAAGGCTAGCTGGTGCTAAGGGCTTTATGGGAGGACTGTTGAATTTGTGGACATGTTTTAGGTCATCATATCTGTGAGGACAGGGGTCCAACCTGTCTTTTTTTGAACACTGATATTTTAGGGGAAAAGTCACATATTGGGTAGTCAATGAAAGTTTGTTGAACAAGTGAATGAAGAGAAAAATCAATGTTTCAGTGCCACAGAGGATCGAGGCTAAGAACTGGGAAATATTGGCCCTTACTCTAATCATGTACAGATGTGAGAGTTGGACCATAAAGAAGGCTGAGTGCCAAAGAATTGATGCTTTTGAACTGTGGTGCTGGAGAAGACTCCTGAGAGTCAATCCTAAAGGAAATCAACTCTGAATATTCATTAGAAGGGTTGATGCTGAAGCTGAAGCTCCAATACTTTGGCCACCTGATGTGAAGAGCTGACTCATTGGAAAAGACCCTATTGCTGGGAAAGACTGGAGGCAAAAGGAGAAGAGGGTGGCAGAGGATGAGATGGTTAGATAGCATCACCGAGCCAATGGACATAAATTTGAGCAAACTCTGGAAGCTAGTGGAGGACAGGGAAGTCTGGTGTGCTGCAGTTTATGGGGTCACAAAGAGTCAGACACGACTTAGCAACTTAACAACAACTGTTTAGTACTAGCTATCCACCTATATAGCCATCACTTCTACATGAGAAACTTGATATTTAGCAGCTGCTACTAATACCACTGGGAGCATAAGAACATCACAGTTTCTATTTATTGGGCCACTGGCTCCTGAATATGGCAAAATGGATTTGAGATATATTAAAAATAAAATGAATCATATTTTAAAATTTATGAATTTATTTGAGCAAAAGTTGGTTTCAATCAGTCAACACCCAATCTAACAGAAAGGAGCTTCAATTAGCTGTACAAAAGAATTCTACAGGCAAGAGGGAATTGGAAGAAGTTATTAATATATGAGGCAAAAAACAGGTTGGTTACTGCAAAGTTACTTTCCTTTAGAGGATTATAGGAATCTCTGAGCCAAGCTCCCCAAGTGGTGGTGGATTGGGTGATTTCTGGTTGACTGGTTTGATATTGCATTTTTGGAAGAGTTTGGACTATAATTATTTCAGTTTGGTGACGTGTGTGTGTGTGTGTGTGTGTGTGTGTGTGTGTGTGTATGCTAAGTCATTTCAATCGTGTCTGACCCTTTGTGACCCTATGGACTGTAGCCCACCAGGCTCCTCTGTCCTTGGGATTCTCCAGGCAAGAGGACTGGAGTGGTTGCCATGCCTTCCTTCAGGGGATCATACAGACTCAGGGATGGAACCCGCATCTTCTATGTCTCCTGCATTGGCAGGTGTGTTCACTAGCACCACCTGGGTAACTAATGCTTCAGTATTTTATCTTATTTGGAAATGATCTAGATAGTCAATGAATAGTCATCATTTAATTTATCTCACTCTAAGTCTAAGGTTTCAAGTTACCAAAAGATTTTGGAAACTATTTTCAAGTAGAGTTATGAAAGGGAGCTTACCCCGTGGGGGCTCTGTCAGATATAAATCCTTTCTAGGTCCCCAGTTCTCATTTGTAGCAAAAAGGCTTCAGCCTCCTAGACCTTCTTGAATATTAAAGGACAGATTCAACAGTTGTTAATCAGGGGAATAAGGAAATGCAGGAACCAAGGAGGAACAGTCAGAAAATAATACTGCAGGAAATTCCCTGGTAGTTCAGTGGTTAAGAGTCTGTGCTTTCACTGCTCAGGACCTGGGTTCAATCCCTGGTTGGGGAACTAAGATCCCATAAGCTGAATGGCATGGCCAAAAAAAAAAAATTACTACAGTAGTAGGGCAAGGTCCTGGTTCTTTCTGAAGGGATATATACAACAGTATCTTTGAGTTCTTCTGCAGGAACTAAGGTCTCCCACCCAGGTGGAGGATGGTAAATTCAGGATGAGCATAAGATTCCTGAGCACAATCAACTAATCAGAAGAAAGTCACCCTGCAGTCCTCACTGCAAATTTTGCATATTAAAAAGCTCCTCATCCAAATCATGGAAGAGTTCAGGGTTTGGGGACATGAGACACCCATTCCCCTTTCTTGGCCCTACAGTATACATTTTTCTGCTCCAAACTCTGACATTTTGGTTTGTTTGGCCTTACTGTGCATGTGAAAAGTGAAAGTGAAGCCACTCAGTCGTGTCCGACTGTTTGTGACCCCACGGACTGTAGCCCACCAGGCTCCTCCGTCCATGGGATTTCCCAGGCAAGAATACTGGAGTGGGGTGCCATTGCCTTCTCCAGGAGATCTTCCCAAGCCAGGGATTAAACCTGGGTCTCTCGCATTGCAGGCAGATGCTTTCCCATCTGAGCCACCAGGGAAGTACTGTGCATGGGCTGCATGAACTTGCATTTGATTAGGTAGAATAAAGGTATTATATCTAATGCTCATAACTCTAAAGACATGCTTGCTTTATGTATTTATTTTTCATTAGTTCTATTGTTTTAGTATTTATTTTTGGCTGCACTGGATCTAGCTTCATGTGGGGTTTCTCTAGTTGTGGTGAGTGGGGCTACTCTTTCTTGCAGTGTGTGGGCTTCTCATTATGGTGGCTTCTACTGTTTCGAAGCATGGGCTCTAGCCAAGTGGGCTCTGTAGTTGTGGCATATGGGCTTAGTTACTCCATGGCACTTGGAATCTTCCAGGACCAGAGGTCAAACCCATGTCACCTGCAATAGCAGGCAGAGTCTTAACCACTGGCCCACCAGGGAAGACTGACATGCCTGTTTTAATTAAACCAACAAACTTAAACTAGCTTTTAGTTACTGAAGATTATCCTAGATCACATGAACTTGAAAAACATTTTAATTAGTTTCTACATTTTCAAGAGTATGTTTGATTAACATAAATGCTTGTTTGTCTTTAAGCCTATAAAATAGAGCTTTATACAGATTAATTTTGGTAATACCTTCCCATGGTAGAAAAATATCAGACATCTATAAATAAATACATAGACATACATAAACATACAGACCCAAACAGAGATCTTATAGCTTTTGTTTTGAAATTTTAATCATAAGATGGGCATGATAGTACAAAAGTCACTAGTTACTAGTTTAAAAAAGAACAGGTACTCTTTCCCAGAGCTGGTGGTGGGGCTTGGCGTCTTGCTCCTCTCCTTCCCCCATTCACCCGGCCTTCCGAGGGGCACCTGCGCAGGAGTCTGAAAAATCCTTTTGCAGAGTTCTAGGATGGAGACTGAAGGGTATCCAGAGATGCAAAGAGATGGAGAAGTCCAGAATGATGAAATAAGGTTACCACCAAATGAGATGATGGCTGAGGAGTCAGAAGGCATCCTGATAGTGCCGCCCCAGGTCCAGGTCCCAGCAGAGAGCCTGGCTGAAGACTCTGAAGACGACCTGGAGGCCGTGCCCCTAAGGAGGCCTCTCAACCCTGCAGCCTCCAGGCAGAGGTTCCAGGAGTTCCGCTATGAAGATGCAGCTGGGCCCAGGGATGTCCTGAGACATCTCCAGGAGCTTGCTGGACAGTGGCTGCGACCTGATATTCACACAAAGGAGCAGATTGTGGAAATGCTGGTGCAGGAGCAATTCCAGGCCGTCCTCCCTGAGGAGCTCAGAGCTTGGGCACTGAGGTGTCAGCCTGGGGTCAGAATTACTGGCTAAAATCTCACTGCTTCTTTTTCAGCCTATATATAAGTAGTGACCAAAGGCTCTCTTTGTTGCAAATCCAACTACAGACATGAGAAATCTGAACCTTGATTTTCTTTGAGCTTGCCTTTGCTAGCTGTAATAAGAATCAATGAAAACCTTTTTTTTTTTTTTTTGCCTGAAGCAGCGCTCTTTCCTGGCAGTATGAACTCCAAAATGAGTTTCCCTACCCTATTGTAAGGACAATCAGTCTGCTGCTTGCCTTTGCTCTGCTGAATCCTCCCCTTTTGCACTTTGTGACATGCTTTAATATATAGTTTTTATGTATACAAAGAGATGATTGCTTCAACTTTAATATTCTTGATTCTTGCTGTGGTGGCTTGAATGGAAGCTTCTGTAACCCCACCAGTAACTCGTTTGGGGTGTCCTTGAAGTATTAAAGTTTGATTCTTAAAAAAAAAAAAAAGAACAGGTAGATCCAAACTGTGTTTCTGGCAGATGGAATAAGTTAAGATTACCTCTTCAGGTGGTTAAAGCTTTTTACTAATTTTTGTGAAAGAAATTTTCAGTTTTTTGTTGGTCTACTTTGCAAAATAGCCTTTCCTTCTTTTCTGATAAGAATTACTCTGGTTCCTGGAGAAAACCAGTAGAATACTTACATATCAAAACGCACAGAGAAAGAATTTCCACCACGAAGGATTTCTGTTTCTTAAGTCCAGACTTTTTACAGTATCTGCAAGTCTTTTGAGGTGAAGAGAGGAAGTTAGAAGACTGATAAAAATGGATAGATGGGCTTTGTTGTTCGTAGATGATGAATTGTAGATGATGAATTGTTCGTAGAGTCACACTTCTGTTCTTGTATAAGACTGCACTTATCTTGCAAGACTCAGTTTGTAAGATAAGTGCTGTTGATTTTAATTCCTTAAAGAACTGGGTTGAAACCTGACTGATATGGAGGTTGCCTGGTAGCTGTTCATCCAACCATCTCATCCTTTGTTGTCCTCTTCTCCTCTTGCCCTCAACCTTTCCCAGCATCATGGTTTGGGTGGCTCTTTGCATCAGGTGGCCAAAGTGTTGGAGCTTCAGCCTCAGCATCAGTCCTTCCAATGAATATTCAGGGTTGATTTCCTTTAGGACTGACTAAGTTCATAGAATCTCAACTGCAAGTGAACTGAAACCCATATTTCTATCCAGCCATATTTTTGAAGCCCTTAACCTATGATTTTCAAGTCAAGCTCTTAGGACACAAGATGAGACAAATAAGAAGTCAACAGATATTGTTGGGTAAGGATCGACAACCAACAGGGTACCTGAAAGCAAATCCACAGGTCACAATTCAAAGATCTAATTCTTACATGTGTTTTTCTGTCTGCCAATCTAAAAAGAAAGGACAACATGAAATTTTACCTTCTCTCTTCACCTGGCATGACAGATAGATATCTAGGCGAGCTGACTTGGGTAAGAATTCTCCCCCTTTGCAGGCTTCTGCCAGTTTCCCCAGGATCCCGTCTGCAGGTTCTAGAGCAAGTAGGCTGTCCTAGGGGTGTCATCCTGGCCACCAGAAACTGTAGAGGAGGAAAAATAATTTTCCTTCTACCCTTTGTGGTCAATGCTTGGTTGAGGCCCCTTTCTCTCTAAGGGCACCTCATGAATGGATAAGCTTATCTGATTAAAATTTATCCACTTCATAGAGCAAATTCCCATTGGTTACCTCTTTTCCCCATGGTAGTGTATATGTTTCCATGTTACTCTCTCCATTCTTCCCACCCTCTCCTGACCCCTCCCCACCCCCTGCCACGTTCATAAGTCTGTTCTCTATGTCTGTGTCTCCATTGTTCCTTGTATGATTCAGGAAACTCAAACTGGGGCTCTGTAACAACCTAGAGGGGTAGAAGGGGGTGGGAGGTTGGAAGGAGGTTAAAGAAGAAGGGGGCACATGTATACCTATGGCTGACTCTTGTTGGCGTATGGCAGATGCCAACACAATATTGTGAAGCAATTTTCCTTCAGTTAAAAATAAATAAGTTTGGGGGAAAAAAAGTTCTTCACTTCAGCCATTATAATTCAAGTTATCTTTGGTAAGTGTAACCTACTTGTTCAGCCTTAAAACAAAATTTTATTCACCCAAACAGCCTCATCTGTCCAGTTTCTAAGTGGCACCTCAGTATGAACCTAAACCCAGTCCAATTACTAAGAAAGACCTAGTCCAACCCAGACTGGATTCTAAATTGAACTCTTGTCACTTTTTGGGCTCATCCAGGGAAAACAAATGCTTACATAAAATCTGAAAACTCATAATTCAAAAACAGAGGAACTAGAATGCTAGAGGGACTTACCCACCACTTCCAAGGGCTCTAAGAAAGTTGGCAGGTCAAGCGGCGGCGGCAAGCATACCTAAGTCTGGTTGTTCTTTGCTCTTGAGGGGCTTTTCCTGGTGGGTGGGTGGGGGGAGTCTTCTTTGATTCCCTCTTCTGATACCAGAACTGTTAAAAGACAAACTGAGGCAAGTTAAAAATTTTAAGAGTTTATTTGAATGAAAATTGATTTGAAACAGACAGCCTGCAATCTAGCAGATAGAAAGGAGCTTCAAGGATCTGTCTTTATAAGCAGAAGGGAGCAGGAAGAAGGAAGCTGTATGAAGTGAAAAAGCAGGTAGGTTTCCTTTAGGAAATGCTGCGTGTCAGTGCCTTCAGACATTTCTGACTCTTTACAACCCTATCGATTGTAATCTGCAAGGTTCTGCTGTCCATGGAATTCTCCAGGCAAGAATACTGGTGTGGGTTGCCATGCCCTCCTCCAGGGGATCTTCCCGACCCAGGGATTCAATCTGCGTTTCATGTGTCTCCTGCATCGCAGGATTCTTTATCACTGAGCCACCGGGGAAGTCCTTTAGGAAATGTCAGAGCTCTATAAGGCAGATTGCCTAACTAGAGCTGATCAGGTGATTCTTCTTTTCCTTCAGTTGCACCCCGTCTTAGTTGAGGCATGAGGGACCAGGGATCGAACCTGGGTCCATTGCATGGGAAGCGCAGAGTCTTAGCCACTGGACCACCAGGGAAGTCCTGATTAGGTGATTCTAATCATTTGATCTAATGATTTGATCATTTCTGGGAAAGATTTCATTTCTGGGAAAGTCAAGACAATAATTAAGTCTTAGGTTGGTGACATGAGGCTTAGCATAAGTGACTTCATTTTAGGCCTGTTGTCTTGGTTTGTTTGTTTCTGGAAGGAAATTCTTTTTTTGAGTTTTTTTTTCTTTGCTACACAGCGTGGCTTGTGGGACCTTAGTTCTTCAATCAGGGATCGAATCCAGGTCCTTGGGAGTAAGCACTGAATCCTAACCAATGGACTGCTAGGGAATTCCTTGCTGTCTTGTTCTTAACAGAGGCAAACCTAAACCATATGCCTTCATCCTGCAATGGACTGGTGTAGTAGTTTCTTTCTGCTGCATAACTAATTACCAAACTTAAGGGCTTAAAACAACACTCACATATTAGCTTATTGTTCTGTAGGTCAGAAGTCTTGAGATCTCTGCTCCGTGTCTTACAAAGCTCAAATCAAGGTGTCGGTCAGATTGTACTCTCAGCTAGAGCTCGGGGTTCTCTTCCAAACTCATGTGGTTGTAGAAAGTCCTGTTCCTTGTGGTTGTGATGCTGGCTGGGTGATGTGGTTTCCTTGCTGGCTGCCCAGGGGCCACTCTCAGAGGTGAGAGACTGCCTACCTTCCTTGTCGAGTGGTCCCCTCCAGCTTCAAGGCAAGAATGGAGCATTTCACCCTCATTGAATCCCTCTCTTGTGCTTCACATCTCTCTGACTTTCTCTGTCCCCAACACCAGACCCAGATTTAAAGGGTGATTAGGTCACACTCGTCTGACTAATCTCCCTATTTTAAGACCAACTGATCTGGGAACTTGATTACATCTGAAATTTGTGTTTGAATAACTGAGAATTCACAGCAGTAGTGTCTGAATAACTGGGAGAAGGTGCATGTACACTAAGGCTAGGAATCTTGGAGGCTATTTTAAAAAACCTGCCTCCCACAATGGACATTCCCCATAGGAAAGCGTATGGGTGGTTCAAATGTTGGAAAACCAAAATTTTACAGTGTCCACCGGAAAGAAAGAAGACAAACACAGACATAGGAAAACTAAAAGGTAAGCATCTGAGGGGAATTCCCTGGTATTCCAGTGGTTAGGACTCCTATCTTTCATTGCCAAGGGTCTGGGTTTGATCTCCGGTCAGGGAAGTAATATCTCACAGGATGAACAGCACATCCAAAAAAAAAAAAAAAAAAAGTTTG